TTAAATAACAAATTTTGTGGTGTGTGTGTGTGTGTGTGTGTGTGTGTGTGTGTGTGTGTGTTATGTCCAAATAGGAAAGGACAACAATCTAAAAACAAAAAGGGAAGACCCCTGGGTCCCCAGCTCAGCCCCTACTAGGGTGCCTTTTCCTGCCACAGCAGGGAGTGAGGATGAGCATCTAAACAAAGTGAAAGTGCACGCTGGGATATATCTGCCCATCTCTAGGATCAAGCTTTTCTCTCAAAAATCTGTAGAATTGATCACGAATAACATGCACATTTTCCTTACTTTGAGTTTCAAGTCCACTCAATTAGACCCTCAGATCTTTGAGGGTGGGATAGTTTCTTCTTTTGAATCCATTAAACCTCACTTAGGAGCTGGGCACTTAAGGAATAGTCGTTTGATTAATTTCTTCTCTATAATCAACAAGCCTAATTTTTCTTAGAGGTTTTTTTTTTTGGTCATTTTTTGTTTTTGTTCAGTTCCAGTTAAACAAGAAAGCTGATTTGAGATGTGATCAGCTTCCTTTCCCATTTAAGTTTTTTCTCTACTCTTTCTATAGGTGACTTCAAAAAAAGATAAGGCAATTCCATTGCTTCATATCATAAGGACTGAAAAACCCAAGAAACCATCAGTTCTCTTCTGATAACAATCCCAACAATTTTAAAAGCTTGGTTTTTATGTGGCAATTTAAACAATAACCCAAACCACGTAAAAAATATCCAAATATAAGAGTGAAAGTAAAATTGCTTCCGAACAATTACATCTGTATTAAAGAAAAATGTCTAGGGGAAGACAAACTACCTAAGCAAATTGTTATTTAAAACTAAATATTATTTAACATAATCAACCTAGACATCAAGTTTTTAAGTCTACTTAGAGTTCAAATGTTTTTCAAATTATATTTAGGTCATTATGGAATGAAAGCAAATAGGCAGATTTTCCAAGTTTCTTTTAAACATGGTTTCAAATATATGTAGATAGTTGATTATTTTTAAATGATGTTTTCTAATACAAAGGTGGAAAGTTTTGAACATAGATGACAATGTAAGGTTCATAACAAGATATGAATATTTGCTTGCAAAAGAGTAGAACTAACATCTTGAGATCATTTCATCATTTTTATATCTACTGTTTTTGATATCGATGTATAGAAATATCATTATTATACTTCAATATTGCTGTAACAGCAGTTAGGCATGGCTTATACCTGTAACAACAAATAATGAAACATATAAAATATATTTGACATTTAGAAAAATATTTTTATTGATTTCAGAGAGGAAGGGAGAGGGAGAGAGAGATGGAAACATCAATGATGAGAGAAAATAATTGATTGGCTGCCTCCCACACCCTCCGCACTGGGGGTCAAGCCCACAACCCAGGCATATGCCCTGACGGGGAATCAAACCGTGACCTCCTGGTTCATAGGTTGATGCTCAACCACTGAGCCATGCCAGCCGGGCCTTGACATTTTCTAAAGTTTGTCTGCAATTCTTCTAAGCCCTCTAATTTGTTGGAGAAGAAACATCCATCCCTGGTGTTCCTCTACGTCTTGTGTAAGCTTTTATTCTGGATTTTTTTTAGGGGTGCTTATATAACTAACAGCCTTGGAAGATGGAGACAGTACATCCTTCTAGAACAGAGAGCAGGTTTTTTGTCGATCTGGATAGTAAAAATGAGGTCTCCCTTCAGGACTAAGGTTGGGTGGATTTTTCCATCAGACTCTTAAGCTCTTCAGTGGTGCTACAGACTCACTGTGCGCCCAGCATCCCCCAGGGCCCGCCTGTGCATTGCCCTCATGTGGTTAGGGGGTGGGATGAGACCAGAAGAATCAAAGTGAACGTTAAATTTAAGCTGTCTGATGTGCCACGAATAATAAAATGCTTTGCTTCTGATTCAGAAATTGTCTCCTGTTAGAATTTACGACACACTGAGTGGCTGACATGTTAGCTTTTAACTAGAGTGAAATCTCAGACCCTTCAAAATTCTTGACATAATAATAAAGAATTTTTATTTTAAGATGTGTGGTTCTGATTCCCAGTCTCCTGGGACATTTCGCATCATTAGTTTATTGTAGCCCAACCCAAGTTTTCCAGATGTAACCAGAAATTATGTCACAGAAACACCATATTATTAGTGCTGACAATTAAGTTTGTTCAGATTCATAATTATAGAAGACACATTCTTTCTGAGCTAACATTGTCCTTTATCAAGAAAATATTTAATGTGATAGGTGATAATATGAGTAAAATGTCAGCTTAGAGATGCATGGTACAGATGATACATTACAGAGTTAACAGAATTTATTAACCAATGTCATCCCCATATTCAATTTTTAAAAAGGTAAAAATAAACTATGAAGAAAAAAAGAAAGCATCCCCATACAGTTGTAGTATTAACTTATGAATATGAGACAAACTTGACAAGAGTAATTTTCTTCTTCACTTAGAACTGAATAAAAGTTCCTGGGACATTAAAACGGGGGTTGGGGGAAGTGGAGAAAGCATAGTTTTTGTTTTTTGGGTTTTTTTCTCAGCACTGACCTAACTGTGTGGAGTAGGATAGCAACGGCCTCTGTCATGGCTGCCCAGTTGATGACCAGACAATCTACCAATTTTTCTGAGAATAAGAAACATTATGGAGCAAGTATATTTGGCACCACATAAGAGAGCCAATGGCACCTATAAAAATGAGATTAATATTTTTATACCTTGCACAAACTTCTATAAAGAATTATTAGGTAAATAATTTTTGCACATCTAATGCTTTCCTTGAGATTCTTCAATGCAGGAAGGCCAGTGTCACACACCGAACAGAACAATGCCTGGCATGGAACCAGGCAAAGAGTACATGTGTCAAAATACTTGTTTCATGACTTACCAGAATTAACAAAGGTTGATAATTCTACATGACAGCCATTATCATAGCGGAAAATTTTTTTTCTGGGGACTATATCAATACTTCAGGAAAACAGTACCATTTCAATTGGCTTATCACCCAAGAATGTGGGTGAAGTTAGTTTATTTTAAGGGGTAAAGATCAATAAGTAGATAAAAAGAAAGAGGGACTGGTAAAGTTCTTTCTGTAACCCAAAATTAAACATATAGGAAAAGCTCCACGTGTGCCATTTTGTTCCAATACTTATTATGACTGAACCTACATTGCACATGGGTGTTTGGGCACAGCCATATATTGTTTTCAGTATATTAACAACTGTTACAATGGCAAACTTTGTGGCAGAGTTGTGTTTTGTACTATGAATTTGAAAATTGACGCAGAACTTGT